ATGTTAATTTGTTGAATGTTAAATGTATGTTAAATTTGTTGAATACCACATAGCATGTAAGATAATTAAATACATGTGATACATCCTTAAATTTCACCAGTTTTGAGCGCTAAGTTGCAAACGTTATAAAATTCTAAAATTGGTTAGAATTATTGAACAGTTTATATCGTAGTCTCAAGTAACTTTTGGCTGGCATAATAGAATACGCCTGCATGCGTGTGACATATACGTTTGGACAGCAATATAGCATACTTTTAGATATAATCAATTAGCCAACTGTATTATTCAGTCATTCATTTATCTTAATGGTGAAAAATATAGTTCCAGTGGCAGATTGGCAGAATTATAGAAACAAATGCTTCGTTCATAATGTTTTGAATACTGCTAATGTTTAAACATAGTATTTCTCATTATAGTTCATTTTCTACTTGAAGGGAAAATTAGGCAAGAATCAATTCAAATATTTCGCAGTGCAAACTAGTGCTAAGTTAACTTGAGAATTGTCCCAAGTCCGGTTTTCTCTATATTTTATTGTAGATTATCGCTTAAATTTTTAAACCGTTATTTTAAGTTAAAGTAACTTTCTTTTCAATTCTCATTTCGTTTCCTTCCAAGAATGCAAATTTCCATCAAGTGAGATATTCAGATTAGGTTGAAGGAAGGTAGTATTTAAAGGAATGTTTTGGAAGGTGAATTCAGAGCGTGTTCTGTCTGCTTGAAGGCCACTTTGTTAACTTTGATTCTCCAGCGATTAGAATTCTGTGGCGCTGAGTTACTCTTGTCATTAGGCTTGTTTGTGCCGGCTTTCGAGTCAGAGTTAACTTGCACGATAATTAACCTGTGAAGCCGTTAGACTATACTTCCTTAATTTGTAAGGATTTATTTTATTCTAACCAGTTATTTTTAGTTTAACTTTACTGTCCTCCTGATTTCAGTTTGCAGCCGGAATGTAAATTTTGTATGATATAGATGCAAATTCTCAAAGTGATTCAGAAGCAGTATTTAAGCTGCGTTTCAAGAGTTCAAAATAGTAATAGTAGCGGACTTAAATCCGATGTTTATGCTGCGAGTTTAAAATTAGCTCTCTGGTTCGGTGTTTGATACAGTTCAGTTTATACTGATATTCCTCGTCTCGGCTTTTCTGTGTGCAGCCGATTTAGCATTAGTTTAAGCTAAGGAGCCAGTCATTTAAAATTCTTAATTTGCTAGTGAATTTTTACATTCTTATTTTCTGTTATGAGTTTCACGTTGTGGTAACTTATGAGCACGAAGTGCGTGCATCTGTTTCAATTTTAGTTTAAATTTTAAAAAAATGAAAATCTGAGAACCTTCAGATTTTACATTACGCCCAAAGGGGCCTTTTTAACGTTTAGTGTGTTAGCTTTATTTATAAAATATCATGTTCTTCGCACTTAAACCATAAAATTCAGTTCAAAAGCAATATTGAAAAAGCATTTTAAAGTGAGCATATCTTTAGAATTTCCGATACACAGTCTCACGCGCTGGAGATAGAAAAGATTCCCCCTCCCCGAAGAGTGTTGCCATTGCTCGCTTTTAAATCGTTGAGTTTCTTAATCAAAAATTCGTTAAAGTTTTACAAAATATGTAACATAATAAAACAAATTCCTCATTCCAAATTTGGGTTTCCAGATGCCCATATTCGGGTGGAAGTTACGTTAGTCAAAAATTTGATGGATCTAGGCACCGTTGTTTTATCACAATGCGAGAAACATACAAATATTTATGTAGATTCTTCATTATTTAATTTCTTTAAATATAATTTCAGGGCGATAATATTTGGTGGCAACAATTTCAAAAGGGAACCGGTATTTATAGTGAACCAATGCAAAATGCCAAAACGAAATTAATAGTCCTTCTCGGCAAATTGTCCCCAAATTTGGACTAAAATTGGTTACTTAAAAATTTCTTCTGCAGTTTTTATTCTGAAATACATAGCAATAATTCACTACTTAGTCTTCAACATAGAGTTCAGGGTATATGCTACCAAAGAATACCCACAAACTCTATACATTTTAAACTAATTTATTACCTTTTGATTTAAGCCGAAAGTGTTGGCTTTCGTAAGCATGAGCTGGTACCGACTGTGACTTTGAGTTAATAAAGGGTTCTTTACACCTTTCCTGACACTGTAGTACTTTAAAGGGCTTAGCGATAGTTCACCAAACAGTCTTCAACTTCGAATATATTTTATGGTAGCAGAGCGAAGAAGACTTTACATTATCAAAAAGATTTCTGAAGAATTAAATTAAAAGAACTTTTTCCTTCGTTTAGAAACCTGGCGAATTCAAATTTATTATAAGAACCAGATATTACGGAATTTTATTGGATATGTTGTAATTTTACAATACACATACCTGATTTCATATTTTTCAATACACAGCCCCCTCCTTTTTTTTTTTTTTTTTTTTTTTTTTTTTTTTTTTTGCTTTTGTGGTATTTACACAAGCTTTTAAACTGCTTTTTATATCATTTGCAGCAACAGGAAATATCCATCGACTTCTCTGTTTACTTTTCCTTCTCTTATTTAGATTTAGTAAGCTTATGTAATTTTACCTGTTTGTGGTACAACAATCTGATCCAAATCTCTTAAGTGGCAGCTTTTGTTGTCTGGAAAAAATTCATAATTTATCAATCGATTTTAAATTTATTACTTTTATTACTGCATCCTTATGATGCTTTGAAAGTATTTTCATTTACTGATTCAAACAATGATCACTTTTTGATCCCTCATATGTGTAAATCTCTGAACTTTTTTTTACTATAACACCGTGAGTTTTTGTGCTTCAAAGTAGGTATCAATAGTAGAACGAAGTTGCTAAACTTATTTAGTTTGGTCACTTATTTAGTTTCAATCAACTCAGAATATTAAACCAAAAATTTTCTTTAACATCGTAATCTACTAACTTGCTAATTTGTTTGCATTGTATAGATTGAGAATGTCTTCTGCTTCTGTTTTTTATATTTACTGCCTATACATGTTAAGAAGAGCAGCGTCTGTAATTTTTAATGTTTTACCCCCACGGAAATTTCAAAAATTAAATTTCTGTTTAATTATGTTCATCACATTTTCATTTTAGCCAATTTTTAGACAATGCAATCGTTAAATACATAGTATAAAGTTAACCGTAAAGCTTGAAAATGGCCTTTTCTAAGAAATAATGATAAATTGGTAAAAATTCATTAGTAAATAATTCATTGGTACTTTCTCTTTATGCTGTAACACGTCTGCCTGTAATTCTCTCTCTCATTGTGGAAGGGAAATGAGGGGAAGGTAAAATTCCTTCCTTTCCCATGCTTCCATTGTCTGAATGAGATGCGTTTTCAGCTTGTACTATCCTTTTATACTGGAGAATGGTTAAAGTGAAATGGGACATGCGAGTGCGCAACCCATTGCCCTTTCAATTTCTGACTCTTAAAATAATTGATTCAGTGCATAACTGCAGATTAAATTCAATTTACTCAAATCCTTCATTATATAACTTTACAAAAAGTCACTGCCCCTTCTTCACGTATTTCTACTATAAATATGGTAAATTCCGACATATGCATTTGCGGGCATCAGGGTAATGTTTGCCACCCAGGATGATCACAGACCTGACATTTAAGTATCTTCCAGTGTATCGTCATTCTGGCAGATGGAAAGCCTGAGCGTGAAAATGGGCGTCGTTAATCATTGTAATTAATCAAAATTTACGGAATACCGGACACACATAAATACGCAAGGTTCATGACATATTTTTGGGTGCGTACGAGTTCATAATAGATTGAATGCACAAGTCCGATAAAAAGTTAATAAAATTTATGTTTATCACAAGAAATATAACAAAATGCTGGAATGCTTCTTCAGAGATATTCTTACAGTATCACGCAATATTACCAGCAGCTATCCTTTAAACTACAAAAAACGTTAGAAATGAATGCAATCCAAAGCGCAGGGAAAGCTAATCCTATCAACAAAATTACAGCAACTAAGTAAACAACAATTCATTAAAGCACTGTTCTGGGCCTTCTTGTCAAATGTCACTATAACACATTTAATTTTACTAACTAGCAAATCTAGACAAAATAATTTCGTACAATTTGCGTTGTGTATTTAACCGAACAACTCCTAATTCAAATTTAAGGGTGTACTGGTGAAAAGTCATGTGTAAGGTAAAATAAAACATACAAATAATTAAACCCAAAGAAAATATGTCAATTTATTTTGCAAAAGGCATTGTTAAACTCAAGTAATCAATGTGATAAAAATCAAAATTAAAATATGATTTTTTCGGGAAAATCTGAGAAAATCAGCATAAGCTATACTCTAATATTGTATCATTTTCTATTACATTTAGCATTTTTCTGATACATTGAAATTTCAATTTATCAATTTCATAAATTTGTTTCAAAGGATTTTTCTAACATCAGGTTTAACACTAGAATTACTAACCTATTGCCCATAAAATCAATCATACAAAAGAAAGGCAACTTTAAGCGATCTACAAGAGGAATTTAAATTTTTGCATAAATTTCACACCGGAGTTACTATTCCAGAACTAATATTGCACATACAAATCAATTATCATTAAGAAGGAACAACTTTAAAAATTCTCTAACAGTAAACCAAATTAAGATTTACAGTAACTAATTCTCACCAACAGAGCTAAGAGATGGTTTTCACAAGTTATCAGAGACAAGAAAAACAATTAACTTTGACAAAAATCAATTCGCCTAAACTAAAATCAATTAACTTTAAAATCTATTTAAGATCTTTTCTTTCAAACGGGTCTTACGTTACTACTCTGAGTGTACTTTTAGTAATTTTTAAGCATGGATAGCACTTATTGCCTCACCCAATTACCTAGCAAATCAAATTAAGTTGAAATAAATTCAAAAGAAAATAAACTTAGCTGACATGATCCTTCCGGTATCAGAAGCTCCATCATCAATCATTGCGCACGAACACAGAAATCCTCGTTAAAGTGATAAAAAATTACCTGGAACAGTTCAAAACTTCTATGAAAAAGTTCATTTCTACTGTCTTTAAGAAGGAAGAGTAGAATCTGGAGAACCGCTAGGTGTTAACAGCAGCAGTCGAATTTATTTTTCTCCATTAAATTTCGGATTGCGGAGGTGGAGTTGAATCTGACATCTTGGTAATTTGACTTCTGAAGGCAACTTGGAGACAACGGCAACTGCATCACGGCGAACAGAAAAGGCAAATGGAATAGACAATGAAATCTGGTTATTCTTTCTGTCTTATGAAGGCAACTGGAGATTTTTGGAAGATGTACTTCCGTTTTAACTAAAATCATGATGAATTTAGCAGAAGAAGGCAACTCTATAGACGGGGAGAGTGGACCAAGGTTACTCATTCTTTTACTAAGTATGGTAAAAGGCCAAAATGGCTCTCATGCCCAACCGCGAGGAGAAATTGACGGCGATAATTTTTGGGGTTCAAGCTGAAGTTCAAGCTGTTTCAAACAACCAGTTGTGACCAGATTGAAGAGAGAGTGCAAAGAGAGTGAATCCCTGCAGAACAACCCCTTTTAGATATGACGGGGCAGCCACATTCGCTAAATCCACGCCCGAAAAGGTGAAAAAACCAGTTGACGAAAAATCCCGCCTTAAGCCATGCGAAATTTCTACTTTTCCCGTGGTGTTGAACCAAACTCAAACTTAAATCTCGCCAAATTCGCGCCAAACCAAGGCCACGCCTAAACATTTGCGAAGGTCAAATACTTGCAAACCGAAAGCTACCCCACAGGAGTTCGCTTCCCGCGTCAACCGAACACGAAATTTTGTTACAAAGTGAATGAAAATAATGTAATGCAAGTCTCTAATGAAGTAATGTATGTTCCTAATGTATTTATCCAATGTATTGTATGTCCTTAATATAACCATGATTCCTTCCAGAATTGCATAACTGTAATTAGCCAAGATATTCGTACAATGTACCAAACGTAGAATATGCACAGTAACATATGTAAATAATACAATGCAAGTCTCTAATGAAGTAATGTATGTTCCTAATGTAGTGTATTTATCCAATGTATTGTATGTCTCTAATGTAGTGTATTTATTCAATGTATTGTATGTCTCTAATGTAACCCTGAGTACTTCCATAATTGTATAAATGTAACTATCGAAGATATTCGTACAATGTACCAAATGTAGAGTATGCACTGTATGTAAATTGCGAATCTCTAATGAAGTAATGTATGCTCCTAATGTAAAGTATTCGTCTAATGTATCGTACGTCTCTAATGTAACCATGAATCCTTCCAGAATTGTATAACTGTAACTGCACAAGATCGAAATACATAAATTCGTACAATGTACCAAATGTAGTGTATGCATCGTAATATATGTAAATAATGTAATGCAAGTCTCTAATGAAGTAATGTATGTTCCTAATGTATTTATCCAATGTATTGTATGTCTCTAATGTAACCATGAATCCTTCCAGAATTGTATAACTGTAATTATACCAAATCGAAATATATAATATCCGTACAATGCACCAATGTAGTGTATGCAACGAAATATGTAAATCATGTAACAGAAGCCCCTAATGAAAGTATGTGCATTATGTATTATGGGTACTGAGCATATTTCCGTATAGCGCTTCTGCTTTGCGCACACCTTACTATGTCTTATATGTTTCTTCTGTGTGCAATATTTGCATTTATGTGCTCTACGTGTTTCCATATGTATTCTATGTGTCATGTTAAGTATTCTCGTGTGTGTTTTTATGTCTTTATGTTACGTAATTTTTATGCTTTTACGTTTAATTTTGTATATCTATGTGTTTCAGCTTATATGTGTGTTTTAGTGTTTTAATGCTATCCCTTATATACTTTTTAAGTTATTTTGTGTTATTAACAACGTCCTATGTAAAATCTACTTGACATCTAGCCCCTGTATGGCCATGTAAACTCCCGGTGCAGCTTCACGGGGCTCCAGCGAGTTGCTTCTTCGAAATAGTGGAGGACGTTGGACATATGCCTGTTTACCTATGTTATACGCCAGGCGTCCCCGTCCTCCGTCACCTGTCACCTGTTACAAAATGAGCATTTTTCTTAAACTTCTTTTCCCCCTTTTCTCAGACAATGGCTTAGCAAGTTTTTCGTTAATGAACGGAAAATTAATAGACGTTTCGACTGTTCTTCGTAAGGGTTAGCCAATTTTTTAATTTTTGGTGATCTCGTCATTTACGTTTTGCTTGCAACTGGCAAGTAAGGCTCAACAGAAGTACCTTCTGAGTGTCGATGGCCGTATTCCTTGCAGAGATCCATGAGCAACTTAGCTATAACGGCGGGAAATTATGCAGTGCGTTTAAGATTTTACTTTGAGGGTACTATCGACGGAAATGCTATTGTAAGTTCTTGCTTGGATTCATTTAAAAAGCTCCGAAATTCTTCGGCGGCCGAACTGTTTTTTTTTTTCGAGAAAGAAAAGTTTCTTCCGGTGGTTCATGTGGCTTTACCTTGCGCTTGAGGATTGTGAACTATACCTACCTCACTTTTTTCAAAGTATGCGGTCAACAACCACGAGCGTGTTCGTCCTATCTCTGGTGTACTGTTCCGGAGATCCGGTCTCCCAAACATCGTAGTTGAAGTTTCGCCAAGAGTTCGCCGAGTCTACTGAAATCGTCTAAGGTACGTTTCTAACTTCTTCAAAGGTAGAGGATATGCAGTCCATTTTTCTAATCTCAGGATACATTACTTGTCCAGTGGACGGAGCCTGTTTTCTCTCAAGCTTGCGGTTATCGATGATGAGAAGTACCTTCCCCCCTTCAAGGATAAGTTTTTCCTTATCACTTTTTTCCTTTTTACATTCTAATCCGCTTACCTGATGGAATTTTGATGGACTGTAATTAACTTTGCAAGTTCTTTTGATTTTGAATTAATATAATCAGAATTAAAAGATTTAAATTAATCAGGACTAAATTGATTCACCATGTTAAGAAAATGTCTCTTTCGCCTATCTGGCTGAGGATAAAATTCTATTCTTGAATGCATAATTAATATTTATTTTCTTTTCTCTAACTGACTTACTATGTAAAAATGTTAAATGGTGTACTCCAGTAGTTCTACTAGTGAACCTGGTACATAGTGTTTAAAAAAATGTTAAATTAGGTACCCAAAATGTTCTCCTTAAACGATTGCCTAATCATATGTTCTATGTAAAAATGTAATATAATCAATCTCTAAATGTTTAAATAAAAATGGGTACTAAGTAACTTTAATTAATCAGTCGATTATTTGTTTTTACTTCAATATTATTTTATTAATGGTTCTCTTGAATGGTCATTCAAGCGGCACGAACCCGGCAAGGCCGAACAAACGCAAACAACACTATATTCGGTTTTAATCAAGATCTTGATTAAACTGAATTTAATAAAGCATTTGAGTAATACCTTAGAATTTCATTTATTATTTGGAGAGATTATTGAATTGGTTTTGAATGATACTTGTTATTGGTACTGTGAATTCGGTACGTGACAAAATAATAGTGCAGTGAAAATGCGCTATGTTACATGTCATGAAAGCAAAGGGCCTTTTAAAACATAATTTATTTATTAATTATCATTTAAACTGTACTGTACTTTCCGATTTCTTTCTTATGCAATACTTTCTGAATAATGGCAGATATGTTATGTACCTGATTTATTATTACCGCTAAAGTACCGTTAGAGTACCATTTAAATGACAATTAATTTATTAATTATCATTTGCTCTAACTGTACCAACTGCACTTACTGGTACTCTAACTGCACTTTAACGGTAATAATAACTGCGGAATGTAATATTTCGATCATATTCAAATATCATTATATAAGTAAAAATGAGAAAAATGTATCGAATGATAATGAAAACAATATTCCTTAAACGCCTATTTTTAAACGCTGCATGTATATTTAATTCCTCCTTTGGATAAAAGCATATGGCCTTATCATTAAACTACAAGACTGAAAATGGCATTTAAGTATCAAGGGTTAAGTATATATTTATAACAATAAGAGATAATGGTGTGCAGGTTCTATATTTTTGAGGCTATTTGAAAATAATGCTGAATCTGCAAAAATGCTTGTTGAAAAACACACTGGGCCAAATTTATTCATTCGGAAAAGACATTTGAAACAATCGAAATAAGAACCGCTGTGACAATCAAACTTCAAAATCTGGTAGGGGGGCATGTTTAGATGAAATGACTACTAAAAATGTTAAAAATATTATATATAAATATAATATATTTGAAAGAGAAAGCTAGAGAGATTAATTTGGTGTGAACAGCTTTTGAGATGAATCATATCAAATCAGATTACACAAATGAAATCTTCACAGTTAAAACTGAAAACAAAAGTTTGATTATTGAATTTTTACGTTAAATACTATACGAGATTACATAAATTAAGCCAAAGAACCCAAAACATATATCTGGAACAAAAATATTTCGAGAGACAATTGCCGTTTCAGAGAAACATTTTAAGTTTTAGCTTCCTGGATGTTTAGCTCCCTGCAAATTTATCAAATAACAGCGAAATATAATAACTATTATTTCCAAAGAAAGCCTAAAATGAAGGACCAAATCCTATTGTGTTTAGTGCAGAGGAAGAAAATAAATATATATTGTAAAGACCTTATTTTGTACTAATCAATTATTTTTATTTTAAGAAACTTTCTTTTCCCTTCTGATTTCAATTTCCAGCCAAAATGCAAATTTAAATAACATATATACACTGAAGTGACAAAAGTCATGGGATACCTCCTAATATTTTGTCGGTCCTCCTTTTTGCCCGGCGAAGTGCAGCAACTCGACGTAGCATGGACTCAACAAGTCGTTGGAAGTCCCCTGCAGGAATATTGAGCCATGCTGCCTCTATAGGCGTCCATAATTGTGAAAGTGTTGACGGTGCAGGGTTTTGGGCACGAACTGACCTCTCGATGATGTCCCATAAATGTTCGATGGGATTCAAGTCGGGCGATCTAGGTGGCCAGATCATTCGCTGGAATTGTCCAGAATGTTCTTCTAACCAATCGCGAACAATTGTGGCCAGGTGACATGGCGCATTGTCATCCATAAAAATCCCATCGTTGTTTGAGTACGTTAAGTCCATGAATGGCTCTAAGTGATCTCCAAGTAGCTGAAGGTATCCATTTCTAGTCAATGATCGGTTCAGTTACACCAGAGGACCGAGTCCATGCCATGTAAAAACAGCCCAGACCATTATGAAACCACCACCAGCTTGAACAGTGCCTTGTTGACAACCTGGGTGCATGGCTTCGTGGGGTCTGCTCCACACTCGAACCCTACCATCAGCGCTTATGACCAAGCCACGGTGACTCATCTGATCAAGCCACGGTTTTCCATTCGTTTAGGGACCAACTGATATGCTCACGAACCCACGAGAGTCGCTGCAGGCGATCTAATCTAATCTAATCTAAGAAAATAAGCCGTACCGCCAAAATTGGCACAACCGGCA